GTCTGTCGCCACCAACGTCTGCTTTGAATTTTCAAATGATAATACTGACCGTATAACTGTGAAATATCGACCTAAACACCTATCTGAATACTTCGTTTTCATCATGAACACTTATATCACACCATCCCAGCTAGCACTTTCTTCGGGTGCACTGCCGAACGTGGGACAAGGCCCCTAAGCCTACCCGACCATTCTCCAATGCACATGAAGTCATTGCCTTTTGGAATGTTGTTCTGGGTAGTGAAAATGTCGTTAACTTTCCTACTCGACTGGATACTTCGCTTGATCTTGCACAATTAAATCACCCCGGAATATACGAAGGTAGTAAGACAGCCCCACTGTCTAACTCCGATCACTGTACTGTACGGGTTTTACTCAAAATTTATGGAAAGTTACACAAGAGAACCTTTTCACACCTGTCCAAGAAAATTGTATATAGATGTGACTCTAAGGAGAATTTTCAGAAAACTAGGAGCATACTCAAAGACACAAGGTGGGACTTGTTTAATGAAGACTCTCCTGATGACACTATCTGTAATATTACATGTTATCTCAAGTTTTGCCTTGACACCTGTTGTCCAAAAGAAACACTTCATCTAATCTGACCGTTTCTCCTCCCCTTAACCTAGAAAGCTTTGCAGGCACACAGAAAAGTTATATAAAATGAAGGATAACATTGGTTTGAAAAGAATTAACATCCTAATCAATTCTGAAACGCACAGGTTGAATTCAATTTATAACCAGAAATTTACATCCTGTAAAAATGCCTCTAAAATATGGAAACTTTTTAAAGAAATTACTGGTGGCAAGCAGATAAACAGTGTTCGTTATTCATTTGATGTGTGTACACTAAACAGGTCTCTTACACATTCTCCCACAAATGTAAAGCTTTTTAGTGTCACAAGTGTTAATGAAAGCTGCTTTCCTGGTTTCAACACAAATGACGTTCCAAAATGCTTTCAGTCTATGAACCCTACATGTAGCCTAGGTCCAGATGGTCCCCTAGCGTTATTCTTGAAAAATGTGCAGATACTCTATGTTATCCTCTCACTGGCAATATTCAATGAATCTTTTTCCAGACATGCCGTGTCATTCGTTTGGAAAGACATCGAAATTTCACCTATACCAAAGTCACCTACAAGAATATGTCTTAAATTTAGACCTGTTCCTATAACCTCTCCTTTCTTGGAAACCGTGGAAAAGTTCTTCTTAATTAATCTTCGACCTTCACTCAAAGCCTTTAACAATCCCAAACAACTCGCCGACAAACATAGTAGAAGTACTTTAGATGCAACTGCAGTCTTGCATCATGACATTGTATCCAGTTTAGACAAATGGGCTAAATTTGTTCCCTGCACTTTCCCAGATTACACATCTTCTTTTGATTCAATACCTAGGGATATTTTGTTATATAAGCCTGCTGATACTCAAACTGGGTGTTGGGTTGTCAAATGGATGCATTCTTATATCTCAGGAAGAATGCAGCACATTATCTGTAAGGGGAAGTCGTCTAATTCACTGCTTACTGAGGTTGGCGTCCCTCAAGACGCTGCCCTTTCTCCTACTCTGTTTTCTTTGTTCTCGCATGACTTGTCGCACTCTGATGAAGTGAACTTTGTTAAGTATGCGGACGATCTAACGATTTCATTTCCTGTTTACACCCAGCTTGACTGCACTAAGATGAACAGCCTTCTATCAGGAGTCAGCAAATGGTCTTCGTCTAATGGCCTCAAACTAAAGCCTTCCAAGTGTCAGACTGTTAACTCCGGTCTCCGATTTGAAAGAAAGTTGAATGAAGCCGTTAATTCTCTTGACCGTTGTATAATTGATGATAGTGATATAGAAATCAAGTCTGGCGTTAAGTATCTTGGATTAATTCTTCTTATGATCTATCCTGGTCTTCACATGTCTTAGCGATTTCTAAAAGAACATTTCGTCTAACTTTTTACACTAAGAAGTTTAGGCACTCCGGCATACCTCAACCCCCCCCTCATCTGACAATTTGTCAACTCGTGCATCTTACCTATTCTTCTTTATTGTTTACGCTTATTCTTTCCTGGATTATTTAAAAGAGAATATGTCATAATTCGTAGAACTCTGAAGACTGTCGGTAGGGCGAGTGGTATCCCATCTGGCTTCGTCATTGACATCGTCATTGATAGGCACTTGATTTCATGCAAGAAATTCGCTAAGGGAATTTTATCAGACTGTGAGCATCTACGTCACCAGCAGCTTTCACCTTGTTTCCCCTCAGGTAAAACAAGAAGTCATTTCAAAAGAAAATGCATGCACGTCTGGATGTAGAAATTCCACGATGCCATATTCGGAACGCATTTGATTTGATGAGAATAGTGTCAGGCAGGAGCTAACTAACCTTATTGTCACTAGGAAATGGATAATTTTCTCCACACTTATAATTTCAGGCGTTACTGTTATAATTCTTGTTATATTCATAATCCCCTCAATTTTTCGTTTATTTTCTGAAAAGCGTGAACATAATTTAAGCTGTTTAATAACTGCTATTTTTGTCTTTCCCTTCACCATTCTATATCAGAAGAACAACAGGTTCAATAATCTATAACATGCTAAAATTTCCAAACTGAATCCCCAATATTGGTTGAAACAAACTCACTGTTATTATTATCACTGTTACATTTATTATTCTCACTTCGTACTTCGAATATTTTTGGCTTTAAACCGTGAATGTGGAGAAATTCCTGTGGTTAATTTCATGTATATTTTGAGGAAATTAGAGGCAGTATTGTGACAAATTCTGAGAATTCTATTCTCTATTATGAGTACTGTTTTTGGAATGAAGTAGATTGTTACAGTTATCATATACCCCTCCAGTGGGGCTCAGATTCGTTGAAACAGCTTCCCGCTATTGCGAGATGCAACTGCTGACTACATCTCACATGCAGGTTCTAACCGCCGGACATCACGGTCATTAGATGAGGACTTTGCAGTCTTATGTTTAAGACGGAATGATGTATTTGTTACCCACGAGAGTAGACCAACCAAAATCAAGAAGTTGCTTTCCTCGGCATTCATATATACATTTAGAGTTTTATCCTGCAGACTTTTCAGTCTTTTTTCACGGCCTAATTCTCTTAAATGTGCACCAGTAGAAAAATTGTGTAAAGATCTACTTTCGGCACTCTTAGTTGCAGCTCAGAATGATTATCTAAGCACAGAGTGACTTAACTCCACTCCCGTATAGTTGCCATTGTGTACATTGGTGTCACTGTGGTAAGGACTCTCGCGACCATGCACATGGTCCTGGGTACAATCCCCTGCCGATGCGCACCTGATATCAATGGTTGGCCTGCAAAATTTGGGCTACCGACATCGCATGCTTAAAATTTCATACGTGTACCAAGAATACGGTGTGGAATCAAACTATAATAAAAAACAACAACTTGAAAGTGGACTTTGGGTCAGTTGGCAAACTACAATTCGTAGTTAACATCCATTTTGGGACATAGGAAAAATATGGGATAACACTGCACCCATAGCCTGTCTTTGTAATCCTCTAGGCTATAAACAGTTCGATTTCTGTACTCTTCTCATCGAAAGGCCGTCCAAAACCTCGCACATATCGAGTAATGCCATTTCTAGCATTTTAAGATCCAGTGAAGAATAAGGACTACTACCTGTGTTACTGATCGCCTAATACATTCATATTGAATCAGATAGTAAGAGAAGAGATTGTGATGTGCCTCATAGTTCGAGTGTTTCCTTAAAAGGGTATTTTGCATCGCATTTTGTGAAGTGCGTCGATTAATAAAGATTTTAGCCCCTATCACGCATCCGAATGTCAGAATTACAGATATGGTATAGCAACCAGTAAGGGAAAAATAGCTTGTAACACACTAACGACATAACCGGAAGGTGAACTACGAGACCTAGATTTCCCTTCGGAGCTATGGAGCTTAGTGCCTTAGCCGGTTCTAAAAGCAGACCCTATGCAATAGTTAATAAATGTCCTTCAACAGTAGAATCAGTTCGTGAAATGTGAATATGATGTCCAATCCCATTATACAGTGGATGATATTATATTACAAACCGCATGAATGAAGGAGCTAGGGTATTATCACGGATTTATGGATAACCACTGGTACTCGTTTTGTCAATAAATCATATTTAAAAATGTGGTTGTTGAGATGTTAAGACGTTCATTAGGCTTAAAGAGTATTCTCTGAAAAGTATAAACATATTGGCTCACACTGAAGGGGAATACAGTCCTTTCTACCCACATAAGAGATAAGCAGGGCAAATTTAACATACTTGGTGGAAGCTTTGGGCGCAACTCAGTAATATGTTAACTTCGGAAAGAAAATCTTGTTATTTCAACTAAAACCTCAAACAGCCTGTCTTACTGAAAGTAAACAAGTGCACACAAAACGCATTATAAATAACGTTTTGACATCTACAATTTGCCCGCAATTACTGTGGAATCAGAGGAGTGTTGACAACACCTCACAGGATAGTGTGCAATCTAAGACATCTGAACAGGGACAAATGTGGGCAGGTGCTGTAGTAGTCTTATTTGAACTCTATTGGAGGTAGTTAGATATAGGAAGCGCCCCCTAAATGTCAAATTCTTTCTCCTTAAGTGAGATTTCCACGGAGTTAACTACCCTTTTTATTTGACCACCGCTCAATCGAATAAAGAAATAAAGGCAGCTACTTGTCAGAGCAACCTCATCGATTTTTTTCGTCCTCATCCTGCCTAGTTCCTGATGACGTTTTTCAGCCTGCCTTCGACCCGTCTTTCGACATAACAACTGCCAATCTTAGAAGCATTCTTATCGGGAAGCAATTTCAACAAAACAAGTCGACATAATTTTACTGGAAGCAGTCAACACAGCTACTGCAGGAAATAGGGTAAAGCTACTTTTTACAAAACTTGGTGAGGGCATGGAATCACTCCTAATCATCAAGGGGAGATTTCTAGTAGATCAATAGGGTTGTGCAAACTTGCCACAAACACACTGAGCGCGGTAACTTCTAAGCAGTGCGACTTTTCAAGGTCATTTCAGACAGTAATTGTTTTAGTCCTAAAGTTTAATATGGTTATGCATGCGTTGCAGTTCATGTTTTTAGCCTAAACACACTGCCGTTTTAATTTAGGAGTTTAAAGCAAAGATGTATCCACTTGAGCGATATGAATTACAATGTTAATAAACAATTTAAGCTACATATTGCTTTTATAGCACATTTATCCATTTGCATTAAAATGCCTTAAGTCTAATACTTTCAAGCATCTCTCAATCCTCCGTGAGAAGTTTTTTATTTCTCTAAGATCCTATTATTCATCCCTTTTACAGTACAACCCCCTATTAAACATTAATATAGCTTCAGGGAAGGTGCCGATAATTCAGTGCACACCCTACAAATGTCCCCGTTAATCTGTCACAAAATTATCCGTGAATTGCTCTGTGATTTTTTAACTTGGGTTACCATTCTTACTGTTTATTTATATTTGTGGTCATACTAAAAAATTAATGTATAGATTTACTTGAACTTGATACCGTTCCTTTCCTTCGATTTCGCTTATCGAGTAGGTCAGAAGACAAAACGCAAGCCACAGGTGTAATAACTTTTATTAGTGAGGTATGATTCCTGTTAAGTTGGAGCGTAAACATTTCTGCGACTTAGCTGTACAAATAGTAAAGCGCATGGATAAAAAGGTGCAGTGGAGAACTGAACACTGTATTGATTGGATCGCGATAAAAATTGGCGACCTGTTTGTTTAAATTTATATTGATAGATCACTGGAAGACTATTCACTACGACTACTGTTATTATCGGTTAACATTTTGATGAAAATGGGTGATCGACAGTTTTTTTCTTGATAATTCCGCTACTGTTCATTGGTTCTGGTTTGTCGCAAAAGAAGTATTCTTTGTAGTAAAACAAGCATATTGCAGTGAGACTAGATACTTATACAAATTTTTCCATTTTTAACTTCAATAATTAGTGATTTGTTTAAGTCGGTGGTGTTTCGTAAACCTCTCAACTTTATGCCATTAGCTTTTAAGATTTCGTGTAAAACAAGGTGTATGGGAGTGAGAACAGGTTAAGAGTCGTCATCTAGGATAGCTTTTGGGCTTTTAATAAACATCTTAGGCCTTTAGTCATTTGTTTTCGTCAGCTTCTCGTGTTCTCAGTCTAGGCCAGCAGTCTGTATATAATAATGATTTATTTCAGTTAACCTAACGTTCTGACCAATAAGTTATTTAGTTGAATTTCCTGCCATACATCAGGAAATCCTCCAGGTTTGAATAATAAAAATACCAGACTGGGAGGAGTCTTAAAAGCTATTCACTCAAAAGCCTACTTGTACTCGTCTGGCTAACTAGCTGCAGTCCAGAAGCAAACTTTAGTTGCAGATTAGTATGTACTTGGCCCACTGAAGTTCGTTGTCATTTTTTATAAGATGTTGTAAGTAAGCTGCTTGTGTCGATCATGATTGTTAAACCAAGATAAAAGTACTTCAAACAATTTCAGCAGCTGCTAAATATCCTCATTAAAATTGATATTTTGAAGGTTCTTTGGTGAGCTAAAATCACAGCAACATCTGTTTATTTGTCCTCAGTTTTTCTGATAGCAGTTAAACCTAATAAATTATGCCTCAAATTGGTTATATTTTCAAATTACAAGTGAAAATATCTACTGGCATTTAGTTCACTATAAAATTTAATAGTAGTAATATCGACTGCAACAGCTAACTTCCTATTGTAATTCGGTTTAGCTTTTGGACTGATAGTTTCTACTCCGGTGTTTCAGTCAATTTTAGTTGAGGTGCTTTTTATTGATTGGTAATAAATGCATCGATGGTTCAGCAGTAAAATGCTCTCCAGCCACGCAGGTAGGCGGGGTCTGATTCCTGGTTGACACATTCTCAAACCTGACCTGGATGGTAGAAAGCCTAGAAAAGAGAGTAGGTTATGCATAAGGCTACCAACCTCTCCCCGTGAAAACGACGCCACTACTGAAACTTTAAAGCCTAAAACCCTATGTTCCAGTTAAAGTATAAGGAATGAGAAAAATTAATAAAACGTCGTTGTTTTTACCTTCAAAGCGGTCATATGTCTTTGTGGACAGGAATTACTGGAAATCAGTATATTACAAATAGATTGTCACTCATCACCAATGATGTCCCCTCAGCAATAGTTTTGGTTTCCCTATTTGTCTCAAATCAACGACCAGACCCATCTCAAATTGTTAATTTGTCTGTTTAGCCAAATTGAGGTTTGTTGTATGTGAATGTAGCTGGAAATGCAAGTTAAGGTAGGTGATTCGGTGTACATATTATTAACGTGAATAGAAACTTCCTTTCATTTAAACTCTCCCTCATAAACGACCTGGTATGGTCGAGGGCTGGTAGACTTCTGTCTTCCTCTCAAAATGCTCTCATTTGGCCACGCGTTGACAGCCACTGCCAGGTAAGATTTGTTCACTGCCTTCATGCGGATGGTGTTTCTCACAAAAGTGGAGAAGCGAATTCGAATATCTGGTGCTTACGACCAGACTCGTGGGGAAGCACGTCTACCTAGGAGAAGTGAGCTCCAAAATCCGAAAGGATCAAATGACGTATGAACCTGTTTAGGACACCGGAAACCATGGGAATGCTGTTCCACTACCTTGTGGATCAAACTTCAAGTAAAACACTTGGAGGGTGATCCCTTAAGACAACCACCTGTTTCCCTGTGGGCATGCTGGTAAGTATCCCAGCCTTTGCACAAGCTATGGGATTGTGGCGCATCTCTTGGTGCGCATTCTATTGCTAAGTTCGTGTTTTAATAAGAGTAAATCATTCAAACCTGCGTATATGTAGTAAGAGTAAACTTTAACCCGTTGGATGAAGTCAAATCAAAACAACCTGTAGAATAAAATTTCACACTATTTTCCCCATTAATTACCTTGAAACTGCTCATAACAGCCTAATTGATTTGCAGATTCGCAGCGTATCCTGCTTCTTGTGCATCTTCATTATGTCGTGTTATTTTTTATTACTTCCAGATCATTCCAGTGGTTGTTTTTCAACACCAAGTGGTCTATATGATGCTTTCCATCATCTCTTTACAATGATGTTTGAGCGAAATCCTATGTTGTCCAATTCTGAAGTGACTGCTGACTACTCACCTGAATTAGATTTGGATGCTTATTCTAGATTTACAGATGGTATGATCAAGAATGATGTCGCAAATAGACCATTCAGTCCATCCAAACAGGTAATGAACCGGTAAAAAGTTTTGATTCCCATATAGGTTAGGTTTCGCCCAAATATCACTGTCAACTCCGTTGATCTACTAGCTGGAAGATCTTCAATGTATGATTATTCTGAAGATGGTGTCGATGAGTTGACGCACATAACATCAATGTCTTTCGGTAATCCGAGTTCACCAAAGCACTTTCAATCTACAGAAGCATCTCCATATGATACATCTCTGTGGTTGGAAGGTAATTTCGACAAAATGTGTAACCTTTCTGTGGACACTGAATGGAGTCCCCAAAATACCTGCCAGAATTCTTCATTCCTCAGAACCACCGATCATATTCCACAGCCACCATTATCATCGTCTTACAGCACTGTAACTGGTTCTAGGAACTACTCTTCAGACGTCAAGAGTTGGGATGACCAAGTACCTAGGAAACTGCCTAACTATCTTCTCAGTCGTTCTGATGATCTTTCTTTGTCAACTCTTACCGAAGTAGACTCTGTCGATTTAGACGCTACATACTCTCCTCAGAGTCAGTCTGTTGATCCCGGTGTAAATCTGTCACAACCAATGTACAAAACAGCAGAAACCTTGAAAAAAGAAATCAAAAACCTGTCTTTAAAGATCAACAGTGCTTCAGAAACGGTGAGTCTTTCCTAGTTTAGCCACATAAGGATGATAATAACTAATGGCGAATTGATTTTTAATGTATTACGTCTACATGATATTGTTCGGCTACTCAAGTGTTAATTTACTTTATAAGAAATTGAGGGATATCAATGGTTACGCAAGATACTCTGTAAACAAACGCGTGTTTATCCTCCAACTCCCAAAGTACTTGTTCTCCTGGGATCAGAAATAAATCAAAACAATAAATGGATTGTCCAAGATAGGAGATATATTTCGGGATCAGAAAGGCAGAGCGATGATAATTGCTTAACTAGTGAGGGTTCGTGTATGAACGACCGAACGTAGCGCAATAGCCTTCCATAGGGGGCAAAGTTCAACAATAGCGTCCCAAGGGGTGCGAACGTATGATTGACTTTGAGTTAACCAATCACAAAAATGAGGAATTTTTGCACATATATTTACGAGAAAATGCATGAAAACACATGACACAGGTTATCTTTCTCTGACATAACTTAAAAATATGTCCATGTTATAATGAGGAGTATCAGTTGCTAAGTTAGACTAGTTTCTATACATTTATTCACCGTGGTGACTAAAGATGAGCTGTTTTTGTGAATCGTTTATCTCTCTTGTCCTCATTTACAGTCTTCCCCAAGAGGCCTCGGTTGAGTTACTATGGTTTTCAGTAAGAGGATTGACGACTACTTACTGGGAAAATGTGGATGATAAAACAAGTTAAAATAAATAATACCAACTCTAAATCTATCCCTAGTCGCAACCCTAACCTTAATCCTGACCTTAACATCAACCCTAACCTTAATCATAACCCTTATCCAAACCGTAATTCTAACCTCAATGCTAATTATAACCTTGATCCTAACCCTAACCCAATACTTACCTTATCCATGATCCTAACCCTAACGAGCTATTAACACATTGTACAAACAGTACTTAAAAACGTGAACTGAGGGAAATTTGCATCTTAGTTGGTGAATAGCGTTGATATTTTAGTTATGATAATGACAGGTGCCGTTAGCAAATGACTAGCGTGCGCTCGAGGTCATTGAAGTGTTCGTACTCCTGTGATACTTTACTTTTACTTTACTTCGGCTATCTCCTACGGGAGGATGAGCCGGCTTCATGAACATCTCGAATCATCGCTGCCCAGGCGCGGCCATGGTGAGAGTCGTTTGTAAGAGAGTTCATGAAGTTTCATGGGAATTTGGTACGAGTGATGTCCCCAGAATCGCTCGGCCTTTTGTTTGAGAGTGCAGCTCTAGCCTTTACACAACCAAGTGTGACCTACAAGGCAGTAGGAGTGGAGTAGGGAGTCCACTATCCATTGGCAGCCGGTGACCGGAGTTCGGACCATACTCCTTTTTGAATGGGGCCAGACATCCAGGACATCCAACAAGCCCTTTTGTCCATACATCTGCCGGTGAGCTCCAGTGAGCTTCATACGCCAGTCGTTGGAGGTTTGGAATCAGGGTTTAACCATCTCCCCTAGACTGTCATCCAATGGACAGTCAACCCGGTGAAGAGCGCCAGGCATCCGCTTTCGCCCTCTCACTTTGGTGAAAAACACCTCCGCCACGTGAAGGCAGTGAGTAGGACTTCCTCAGGAGAGGCTATGTAAGACGCCCGGTCATATGGGAGCATTTCAAGAGGTGTTTGGAGGGGTGGCCAACCCGCAGCGCAAGGCACCCACCCCCGACCATCCTGAGGCTTTGGAGGCTATTGTTGAACTTCGCCTCAAATGGCTTAGATACTTAACCGCTTGCCTTCAGCTTAACAAGACGACTTAAACAGTGAAGGTCAGCATCCAATGTTGAATGAAGAATGGATGTAGACTAATAATAATTTTGTAAGAATTATTTACCGTTACAACTTTAATTCTATGGATACCTTGAGATTATCCAAATCTGTTCAGTTCCACGTCATTTATAATCACTTTGTATATGACTGGTTAAGATAAAGATAACTGAGTGTTAAAAGACTTAGAATGTTATTTTGATTTGACACTAGTAACTAGTGTGATGCGTCTAGTCCTCTCTTTGGTGCAGACTGAATTCTATCAGTCAGGTTGTAATGTGGCCGCCATTCTAGGTAGCTCGCCATCACGGTGTACATTGTTTGTGATGATATTAGATGGTTGGAGGCAATCGGCAGGAAGCCTTGGACCTAGGTTTCGTGCTAGTTGGCACTCTTCAGCAAGGCGTATCTGGTGGCCACATTACAACCTGACTGATAGAATTCAGTCTGCACCGAAGAGAGTACTAGACGCATCACACTAGTTACTAGTGTCAAATCAAAGTATCCACTACAGTCCTACAGGAGGTCAATCGCGAGCCCGAATAGCTCAGTGGTAACGTCTCTGACTGCAGCACTGGGTGACGCGGGTTCGAATCTCAGAAGGGACATGAGTTCCTTCAAGTTGGTTGAAGATACGCCTTGCTGAAGAGTGCCAACTAGCATGAAACCTAGGTCCAAGGCTTCCTGCCGATTGCCTCCAACCATCTAATATCATCACTTAGAATGTTATTATCAAGGTAGATTCGGAGTACACTTCTGAATGGCTACCCTGTCTGATTATTGTGAACCCATAGATTACCTTCCCTCTTCTAATTTCTTAAGTCACTTTAAAAGTTAAGTCAGGATTCCTATTGAAACTTTGGACTTCAACAGCACATCTCCCACTTCATCTTGTTGTCTTCAGTCGTTTTTATCTGGCATCACGATTGCCCATAAGCTTTCTTCTTGTCTTCACACGATCTCTTCCACGTCACCTTCGAACTCTCAACTCGTTGCTTCCCACTCGATAGTCTGGCGTGTGGTATCACTCAGCGGCCTCCTCAGCATGTATCCTGTCCATCTCCATTTTCTTCTGCATATCTCCCAGAGTTGCTTCTTACTAGTCCCTTCTGTGCATCTTATGTTCACTATAAAGCGAAGTAGGTAGCTGTTGTTAAAAGTCTGCAACAGTCTGTTGGAAATGCTTCTCTAGTGACACGTCAAGTCCCTGAAGCATAGTGCACTACAATCGGATGTCGTGGTTTCAAGAAAATAATAAATATTATTAAAGGAACACAGCTACTTGTGTTATTATTAAGATTTTGCGCAACGCCACTCCAAAAGATATCTGTATTTTATTTAAAATAATACGATAATGTACTTTATTTTACATTAAGTTTAAAGTTAGAAATATTCATTAGTTAACTTCTATACCAATGTTAATATTCATAATTTTTTGTATATTCTCTTTTACTACTGATAATGAATAGCCTACTGATAAGATACGTTTAGAAGCTGAACGTATTGTTAATGAAGCCTGTAGCACTTTACCTTGTGGAAATGATTTAATCAATCCATTGATTTTAAATCCAGGACTCACTGTAAATATACCAGAGCATGAAACACAGTATACAAATCTTATCGATTTATCTGTTGATGAATCAGAAATAGTTCGTCTTGAACGTCAACGAATTGCAGCTCAACGTAAAAAGTTGGAGGCGTGTAGGAAACAAAATGCTAAAGACAAAGTTGTAAGTTGCTTTTCTACACTATTATTTTTATTATTATTTGTTTTGTGATGTCATAGATTCGCTATTACCATGTCAAATTGTTTCTTTTACCATTCGCTGGCGTTACTAGGGGAACTCAGGGCTTCAAGCTTGAGCTTTGAAGTTTCGGTAGTGGTGGGGTTGCTAACCTCATATCCGACCTTCTTTCTTTTTCCGCGTTTACTGCCGCTTAAGCGAGGTTTAGAAGTGTGTCGACCGGGAATCAAAGCGTGGGAGATGTGCTTAGTTGGTGAGCATTCTACCGTTGGACCACTGATGCACACCCATATTAAGCTGTACTTATGTCTGATAGCAAATCACAGTCTACTATAGTGATCAGAAGTATATTTTTTTCACTCAGTCTGTTGATCATACTGTCCACCTGATCTATAGATTTGAACTAAGTGGCTATATTGAGCACTGCTCAATGAATAACAATCCACTTGTGTCTTTCAGTTCTTCAGAGGCCTATTGGTGCCTTTAATAACTTCGACTACAGTACTCATTGACTCAATTTCAAGTTCTGTAAAGAGCATAACTTTCGTAAATATTGTGCTAGTAATTTAATTTAATTTTAGATTTTCCGGTCGACTGACTGATTGGACCGAAGTGCTCGGTCTCAGGTTGACATGTCGGCTTCTTGTGCAGATGCTTCGACGATGTCTGGGTATGTAATTAGAATTAAATTGGTGGATGGTGACTAGCAGTGGAATCCAGAATGCGCGTGTCGTCCTTTTTGGGACGCGCTGAATTAGTTTTCTGAGCTGAATGAAACCGGATACATCACTCTCTGTCTGTCAGTCTGTTTTCGACATAGAACGTTGCACCGATGTGCAGCAGTTCAAGTCGCCACACTTCATGTAGCACACAAAGCAAGAGAAGAAAGTAGAAGAAATGCATAAAATAGACAGTAAACAGAGGTGAGAGACAAAGAAATAGTAGTAACGAAGAACAATATAGTTTCATTGGAAATCATAAGTCACAAGGAGGGGATACATCTGCGCCACTGACAACGATTTTGAGCCACATCACCAATTGTTTCCAACCATTGGATTTTACTGTCGCGAGGACCCCAACCAGGAAGTCTACACCTTCCTACATGGCTTAGACTAACCGTTGTAGATTTCATTGACTGGTGCCATGTTTTGGTTTGACCGCCACTAGCTCTTTTCCCGCCTGACCCTATATCAGCTAACATTGCCCATTGTCGAGGAAGGCGATGACTAGGCATATGTAACACATGTCCTAACCATCTCAGTCGATGTAGCCTCACAGCCTTGTCGATTGATTTCCCCTCCTTACCTAGCACTCGACGCCTAACCTCAGTATAAAGTTCCCTAGGAGAATGTTTTCTTGAACAGTTGTTTATACATCAGTTATACATGAGCCTGTGGCTTATTAGTTCTACTACTCAATTTCCAACAAATAGGTTTGAGTCACTGGTTTGAGTCACTCTCCACTTACTCGAGATTTAGGCAACCCGACGATTGCATGTGAATACTACGTACAAGTGGTTGTTAAGTAACATTTCGATTCTTTGTAAAACATGTAATTGTTTCTTTTACTCTCGTTTTATCTCCTTTTTTCTTATTCTTCTTCTTGTACACTTTGTCTTAGAATGAACCTGAACCAGATTTACTAGAATTCTTTGATCCAAATCGTCATGTATATCAATCAGTGAATATTCAGACTAAAAGTCTACCAAATTTACTGCCTACTTTACGTTGTGCTCCTGATGATTCTATCCTATTTCTACATGAAAATATTCTCTGTGATCATTATGCCAGTATGTTGTATGATGTTTAACTATAGGAGGGAATGTTTTTTTTTTTTAAAATGTATTTTCATTCTGTCCTTGTTTTAACTGCTACCTCGGCTGAATTCAGTCTTTCTTAGGTTTACTTTTATTGTATATATATGTATTGGATATCTTCAGTTGTTTGTGTACATAGATTTTACATTTACAATTCAACAGAAATACAACTGAGATTTTCACTTCGAAGTGAACTACACTACCATTTTCGCCTTATGCCTCTTTTTTTTAATTATTTATTACTCTTTATAAGTTTGTTTTTGTTTTCTTTGAGAATTTAAAAAAAAACATCCCATTACAATCGTTAATTCACTTTTTATGTTGCAGAAAATTAAAAAAATAGGAAGTTTTCTTTTTTTCTTTTTTAAACTGTACTAGAAAATATTGTCAAATAATTTTTTTCGGATTTTGTACATTTTAAAATGTAATTAGTATTTTAGATGGCTTATTTATTGACTTCGGTTATTTGGTACAGTCGAGAAGTCCCGGGGTTCGAGTCCTGTTCTACCTATTTCAAGCCTTGTAGTATCAATAGCCCTCATATAATAAGTGTATCTCATAGTCCAATACTAGGTAATTGTATTCTAGTTAAATTAACTAATTAGTTAACTAAGTGTTATATGGTTGAATGTTGATTAGTTAATAAAGTATCAAGATATTCATGAAAAAACAAAGAATATTCTTGATATAAGGATAAAACTTGGGCACTGTGGTACTGTATATCTCCATTATGGATAAAATCTTATTTTGATAAATCACACATTGTGTTGTACAGTAATATTAACTGATGACCACATTTCGAGCACAATTTATTACTGCTCATAATCATATCAAGGCACCCAAACAACTTTCTGGCTTCATTTATTTACATGAGTGAAATTGATGATTAGACATTTGAATAAAGTTCACTTTGAGATAATGTACATTCAGAAATAATAATATGAGTGTTATCAATAAAATACAATAAGATGGGAAATAAGGCGAGTGTTTTTATAGTCATAATAAGTAACTTGTTAGAATGTTATAATTTATGTGAATTGAAATAGAATTTTAAGATTATTTATCATCCTCTTCTGATTTGACTGACTGGTGGTAATAATATCTTCCATATCTCTAGTATTTGCATTGAGTCACTTCTATTGCGTGTGTTGGGTGTAGATTATTCGATGAACCAGAATTCAGCAATCAATCTCTCTCTTCACCTACCTTTTTTTCGAATTTTGACTCTGTCTCACACACCCTGTTGTCTGGTTGTGTGTTAATGAATGCAGTGCAATCGCTGAACTTTTTTCTAAATTACTCATCTTCTCGGGGTCAACCATTCTTATCTTAGCTAAATTTTTGTGTTCCGACAATATGATTATCTAAAAGAGTTCAAGAACACTATCCCACCTGGCTACCGAAAGGTAACAACAGAGCAATAAGGAGCGCCATTATTGAGCATATACTCAACACTGGTCATTCGATTTGCAAGGAGAAGTTGTTCAAAATCTGATTACCCCCTATCTACTAGTTTGACCTATATAGTTGACCTCATAGTCATTGCAAGGTATTTTGTAAGTTATATTATTTTGTTTAATTGGGTCCATCGGGTTCTTTAGCCTACAGAGCTTGTCCTCCGTGAGTGAGTTTGTAGGTTTGAATGCCACCCTAATTCCTGCTTTACTGAGAATCCTACGTAGGGCCTCAGATATCCCTTCCTTATATAGTGAAACTACTGTAGATGCCTTATATTCTTTCTTATTTATGTTATCATTATTCTTTTTTGTAAATTCACTTCAAAGCTGTACAGTTACATAATGTTCTAGAAGGTCAATTGCTAGCATCATTTGGTAAAAAAAAGCATGTGAGAAAATCGGATAAATTGTGGAACTTGACTAAGCAGTCTAAAAACACTAAATGATAAATTATTATAATTAAAACAGGAAGATTTTTCATAAGAGCAAGAGATTTAAAATATGAGATATGGTTGAACATTTTACTTGTGTAACAAAAGAAGGCAAGACACGGAAGCCAAGGTATATTTTCAAGTGATCAAACCACTATTTATTTTGTATACAGTTTTATATGCTTTAACCAATCATTGAGTGTGTGATTTTGGCTTGGTTTACATTAAACTACATGAAATAGAATGTTCAAATATACATAGGCCATTGGATCGGATCCCAGTGGCTTAATGGTCTACGAGCTCGCCTTGTAACCAGAAGGTCCTGGGTTCGAACCCCGGTGGGTGTGTACTGATGAAGAGTCCCAAACTAAGACGAAACAGCCGTCCAGTACTCCCTGCAGGTTTTCCAATGGTTCTCTAACTAATGTCAGCTCATGATGAAATCCTGTAACCAAATCCCTACAAACCAATACTTGAACATATATAGTATTCTGTTGCTAATGCAGTACTGAACTGTGGGAATATGTGAGAATAATAATCCGTTGGAACATATTGCTTGTATCACACCACCACACTTGGAGTGGGCAGGATCGCGGTTTTTCACCAGTTCTTGCAAAAGATTGAATTTGTTTTTCTTTGGAAGTTTGACAAAGTAACCCTTCTTACAATCAGTAGGTATCTTTCCTGTCGATTGGAAGAAGGGCTATATTTATTCTAACGTGTTTGAAGAACGTAGTGAGCCCAATAGCAAGTACGTTTGTTATACATGGGTGTGCGTGTTAAAATTTCATAACGAGTGGAAACGATGAAGTACAATAGCATTGGTTTGGATGATTATCAGTCATTAATGGGTTAGAAATATGGATAAATAAAGGTCAACATAAATTTCAATAGGCATGATAGATGATAGGACTAACTTTTTTAGAAAGACTAAGCACGTGTGGAAATGAGAAATATGAATATTATTGAGTGTGTTGGTTTGTAGGGATTTGACCGGTTACGGGTTCGATCACCAGTTGACATCAGTTAGAGAATCATTGGAAAACCTGGGACTACTGGACATTGGTTTCGTCCAAGTATGGGACTCTTCACAGTACTTTACTCGCTAGAGTTCCAACACAGGACCTTCAGGTTTCAAGGCTAGGTTGTACACCATTGAGCCGCTACGATCCGATCCAGTGGCCCGGAATATGCCAGTTCATCAGTTCAAACCTTATAAGGTAGAAACATAAGATGACTGAAACATTTGGCAATAAAGTAAAATGCTGGAAAGTGATTAAGTAAATTCAATTTATATAAAATGAAACAACAGAGACTGAAGAAGTTTTGTAAATCATGTGATAAATTTAACTCCAAGGTAAAGAGACCTTTTTCATTCGAAGTTCTGGCTTTTTTATGTTCTGTTAAGGTTTCCGCTATGCGAAGCAAGTCCACTCGGTGTACCATCTAAAAGAATGAAATAAAGAATTGAGGGTGTCGCACCTACATTTAGAATTTAAGGGTAACATTGTGAGTGAAGGAAGTCTTTAGAATACTGTCTAACAAGGTCATTAAAAACGCTTTATACTGCCGCTGTACGAATAACTTACTTAGGCCGTCCACTCGTGCACCTTGATACTAAGAAAATGTTACCTCAACTTGGCGATACCGTTTGAACTTATATGTCCACGTTTTGTGGAGCTACATGCATGGAATATTGGGTAAAAGGATTACTGAAAATGATAAATAGTCCCAAAATCATCCATTACTATTCGTGTATGGCTTTCCTCTGAATCTACTTCTCAGGAACTCCTTAAGTCTACATTGGCCCTAATTAACTCACTGCTCATAAATAAGTGCCGTTGTCCAAAACACGCATGTTATTCTGTTTTGGAATTGTCATCTTGGTGTATTGACATTTCAGGGAAACGTAAAGCCAGTACATATGAACTCAATAACTATTGCTAGACCAAGCTGCATCATTTCTTTATTTGGAGTTTTAATCTTTCCCTAAAATTGATTTTCAAGACTGAATTAATCAGTCTTTCTCGGCTTTTGAGCTCATTTCACGAATACATTTCGTATTTTAAATGTAGATTTCGTCACAGATTAACATTAGTCAGAGAACTACTGAAAACTAGGGAGCAAAGGATAGTTTTTTCATAATAACTCGGGACTCTTCGTCAGTGAGCAACCACGATCCCACCAGGGATCGAAACTAGGACCTTCAGGATGAAGTGAATGCCCAATACCCCCTGATTTTCAGCGATTATCTAAGTGATATTGGTCAGTGAGACGATATTTACATTAAAACCAGTCCGAAATTGCATAATACAAACATTTAGTATTGCCTGTTTCGATATCTAGGTGACAACTATCAGTAGTTCTAAAACTTGTGGCGAACCTAATTATAGACTAAGTAATTGGACTCAAATTGCGTCGGTGGTGCAGCGGTTAGGACTCTCGCCGATCATGTGCATGGTCCGCGGCTCAGTCCCCGACCGATGCACTCCTTTCCCTCGCTAAGCCAAAAACAAAGATGGAAGGTTGGGCATGAGGTTAGCTAGCAACCCCATCCTGTAAAAATAATCATTACTTCTACCGAAACTCTAAGCCTCTAGCTTGAAGCCTTATGTTCCACTGGGAACGTAAGGAATAAAAAAAAATTAGACTCAATATCGAAATAAAACCCGAGCAATAAAGAACGATATATCACAGTTATTAAGAATAACGACTTCTCAGAGTATGCAGTTGTAGCGTGATACAAACTGATAGGAAGTCGCTAAAATTGAAATCAATATTTTAAGTCAATGGCTGCAGAGGTAGAAGTGTTTATTCCTCAAACCTAGACTTAGTTTACGTTGTGGACATGAAATAACCTTATTGAACACCTTGTTCAACCTTGGCCCAATTGCCAGCCAATCAGAACAATTTATTCTCTTCTGACCTAGATGAACTTTAATGCGTTCAAGAATGCATAAATATGATGTGTTTCTCTTTAATAAAGCTCCTTTATCAAGTCCATAGTCTTCTTCAGTTACTCAGCACCTTAAAGGGGGGTTATGTCTTGGTCTACTTTAATGATTCTTCTTCACCGTAAGTGTTTGCCGAACTGGTTGTTGAGTC